ACGGACTCGGCGCTTAGCTCTGGCCCAGCAAAGAGTTGGTGCCTGAAAAGCAGCAGTTCTGAGAACCTGGAGCCGGTGCTGAGGAACTGGTGCTGAGTCAGGCTCTAGCACGGAACTAGCACTGGACCTGGTTTGGTGGAAAACGGGTAACAGTGAGTGAAGCGAGCCCCAGACGCTCACCTGGATGGTGATGATGAGGAGGAGCTCACCTGGATGGTGATGATGAGAGGAGCTCACCTGGATGGTGATGATGAGGATGTCCAGGGCGTACGGCTCCTCAGGTGTCGACAGACTCTTCCTCTGACTCTGCAGTTTGGTCACCTGCATCCATTTTCCGCTGAACAGCGAATGCTGACTCTCGGTGTCTCTGATGGTGACCAGCAGGACGTTTCCATGGCGATCCTTGATGGGCTCGTAGTGGACCCGACCCAGGTTGTGGGTTCCTAAGAGGCTCTGCAGAACAACGGGAGCTTATGAGAGCTTTATACAGTCTACAGGCACAGAGGAGGAACGAAACCCACGTCTCCGGCTGACATCTGGTCTTTATGTTCCATCATAGCAAGAGGATGTGGAGCCACAGAACCACAGAACCAGGACAGGAAATGACATAAACAAGACACAGAACCACAGAAAAAAACCCAAAGCTGCCCCGAGACACATAAAATAACACAAAGCAGAGCAGAGACGCTGGAAGTGACCAGTGAGACATTTTTAAAAACCACAGCTCTGAAAACATGAAATTCTCTAAATTTAGCCAAAACATTGTACAGAACTGATTTTTGGTCTCAAATAACAGAGAAATAAACTGAACTGGACTGAGACGGTGGCCCGGTTAGGGTTCTGACCTGCAGCTGTCCGGCGGCCGTCAGCATCTTGTGTCGGGCCTGCAGGGTGGACGACGAGGACATGGACACCGACATGCTCTGTCTGAGCCACCGGACGTCCTCCCACATACAGGACAGCTGCAGGGGACAGGTTCTGATGAAGCTCAGCCACAGGATGAAACCCGACAGCAGGACGGTTCAGCACCAAACAGTGGACTTCATCTGTTAGCAGCTGCTAAAGCTAATCGACTGGTTTGGATCTGAAACTGAGCAAACGTACTTCTACTACTCCAGTACTGTACCTTGGTGAACCACAGGAAGTACTTGTACTACTACTACTGTACCTTGGTGAACCACAGGAAGTCCTGCATCAGGGAGCTGCTGTAGGAATCATCAACCTCCACGATGGGAATCTGGTCCTCGGCTGTGACCAGCAGACTGTCCTTATGGTAGAACACTGCAGCCAGGTAGATCCCCCTGTGGAGCAGAGTGGTACGGTCCAACGGGTCCAACGGGTCCAACGGGTCCAACAGGTCCAACGGGTCCAACAGGTCCAACAGGTCCAACGGGTCCAACAGGTCCAACAGGTCCAACGGGTCCAACAGGTCCAACAGGTCCAACGGGTCCAACAGGTCCAACGGGTCCAACGGGTCCAAGAGGTCCAACGGGTCCAATGGGTCCAACAGGTCCAATGGGTCCAATGGGTCCAACAGGTCCAACGGGTCCAACGGGTCCAATGGGTCCAACAGATGAGGTTCAGGTGTAGTTGAATCAAGAAAAACAGCATTTTTTTTTATCAATTTCACTGATTTATTAACACAGTCTGAGTCTGCAGGTAATCCAAAGATTACTCCAAGTTTTAGTTACTTCCTCAGTTACTCTAAACGTCAGCGTTTGACAAGGATGAATCAACACAGTCTGCAAACACAGAGGCTGCAGCTACTCGAAATATTATTCACTCCAAATACTACACTAGTTGATAGCTACTCCGTTAGTTACTCTATTAGTTACTCTNGTTAGTTACTCTAAATGTTCTAAAGTGTTCTACACGGCTGAACAAATACAACCAGCAACCCACTGAGGTTACGGCTACTCCAACTGTTACTGCGTTAGTTACTCTGTTACTCACTCTATGAGTTACACTAACAGTTAGTTACTCTAAATTTTAGCTATTTAAACTGTTGTACTCGAGTTGTTACTTACTTTAAATATTTATGACTGTAACTGTTTTAACTCGAAGAGTTACAACAAACAGGGTAACTAACTGTTAATTACTGTAACTAACAGTTAGTGTAGCTGTCAGTTACTCTGTTAGTTACTGTAACTAACAGTTAGTGTAGCTGTCAGTTACTCTGCTAGTTACTGTAACTAACAGTTACTATGGTCGTCTGACTCTGAAGCCTCTCACAGCTCGATAGTAAAGAACCAGTAAAGAGTAAAATCCTTCATCACAAACCTCTTTAGTGTTTTCACAAACTTGTTGGAGGAGTTGAACAGATGTTTTAAACTTCTGGACACCGACTGCTTCCTGCTGGGGTTCTGCAGCTTCGAGGCATCTGAAGACAAAAACAAGAAGAAACCAGGAATCAACAGACGCTAAATCCTGGAGCTCATGTGGTCTCCTCGTCCTGCAGGTGTTGAGCCATCTCCATGTCTCCAGACTTTTCCTCTCTGCTCTGCTCATCAGATGTAGAAAGATGTTCCACCATCAGTAGAAAGATGTTCCACCATCAGTAGAAAGATGTTCCATCATCAGATGTAGAAAGATGTTCC